ACAATGATTTGTTTTTAGGCTCCTATAGAAAAATAAAGATGTACTCACATAATCAAGATGGATGGGAAGGGAAAACAACTTTGAACAAATTAGAATGACTTCAGTAACTAGCGCGTTTAATTCCATCAATGCGTTAGGTCTAGTAGAAAAGGTTAATATCTTAGAATGTGACAATCTAAGGTACGAATAATGACTGAGAAAATGCTCAGTTATTACCTGGTCATAACTTGAACACGATTGTTTCTAAGAAAAGAATACAAAAGATTTTAAACATTCAAAGTGTATGAAATCACACAGAAAAAGGTAAATCTAAAATTCTATCATTATCGTAATGAAAGATTATTAACTATCAATCACCACTCATAAAATATACATAGATATATATATACACACTGAAGCAAAAGGGAGTTGTTAAGTGAGATCACATCACTATTTAAGCTTGATATGCCGAATATCCATCAATTCCAAATGACGATTGTGATGCCATCAAGTAACAATGGCGTTTAACATCACACGCATATTTGAGCTAATTCCAAATATCACGACGACATAACAGTGCACATAAGTCATAGTAACAGTTACTGAGAGAGAACATCTAGATGAGTGCTTTTATCCAAGCGCCCACAAGAATATATTCATGCAATATTGGTGTCTAGCAATTTGAAAGTATATCATAGGCATCAAAATAAAAGAATACACACATATGATCAAGTTTTACGCAAAGGGAGAAAGCAAAACTAATAAAAAGATAAATAAACAAATAAATACAAAGGTTAAGGGGAGGACAAAGGAAAAGGAAAAATGGGATGGAAAGAAAACGAACAAATCAATCCAAACCAAGTTGGATTTAAACCTCTAGCTATTGTTGCCGGGGCTCACATATGTGACAACCACCATAAAAATATAGGCTTTCCTTGAGTGAGAGTGAAAACAAGATGAATGGACTTTACTCTATTTTGGTCACCGTTACCTATTCCTAAACCCTAACTGTCATCAAAAAAGAAGAGAGAAGAATTTCTTTGTCTCCCTTTTTTGTGTGAGAAAAATTATCTCCCTCTTAATCCTTACTCTCTTATTTATAGGGTTGGTCTAGGATTTCACAATTTTCTTCTAATTTCATTTTTGCGGGTTGAACAAAATGGGGTGTTCCAACGGTTCTATCCATCGCCTACAACACAATGAGATGATGAATACTTCCTCGTGTATAATTTCAGTGAGTCAGCGAAACAAGGCACCTCACTTTGACATTTTCTGAGTCATATCAATTCAGCTCCTTCCTTTGTACTTAGCATTCCAACAAAAACAATATAAATGCAAAATCACAACACCTATCCACTAGAATTTTGCATCTAGGTTCTGTCATATCTTGATAATTATCGCCTTGAAAATAAGGAGCTTAGGACTAACCAAGGGCCAAGTAGAGTAGTAGAGACAGAGACGGAACAACTTTTGAAGTGGAAACCGGGGAGGGACCGGACAGTCATTTTGAAAGGTTCCGGTCAATAAAAGGCAATACTGAAGAATTGTGCCCGAGATTCCTGAAAATTTCCAAAACTTCATGAAAAATAGAACAAAAAGTCTAGAACAATATTTGAGGTCTGAAAGTTGAAATAAGAGTCAAGATAATTTATTTTAGAATTTCATGTAATTATTGGTACGTTTGGCTAATTAAGAAAGAATGGGCCAAATTGAATTATTTTAATTATATAGAGGCCTCAATGATCCATTAAAAAAATGAGAAAAATTAGTTGAGAGGTTATTACAGATTGTAAAATTATTCTTGACCTCTGTAAAATACAGAGGTTAGCTTTAAAATATTCAAAGGCAAATTATGTCAGTAAAAGGCTGATTTTGGGAAAAAAAAATTGAATAAAAGGAGTTACAGGTCAAATTTTGACTTAAGAAAAATTGGTGAAGTTCCCTTCATTAAAAGGAAGTTATTGGAGTAGAGAAATGAATTTTTAGAAATACTGGATTAGGCAGGACCCAGGAAAAATTTAACCGATATTAGGAAATTATACACAGGAATAAGCAAAGGCTTATTGGGATAAAATTTTTTCCAATTTTTCTGCTCATTTTGACACCAAATTGGAAGAGGAGGATATGGATGGAATTATAAAATTTGTCTAAGGGCATTATTGGAGGTAGATAAATTATAATAAAATATTATTTTATAATTACATGGTTAATAGGTGGCACGACATGTGGCATGATCATGGAGGGCAAGACAAGATCAAGGGACAAGTGTACAAGGAAATTATAACATGTCACTAGGGGCAAAGTAAGAAAACCGAGCAAAAAATTTGGCTATAAATACCCCCTAATTCGATAATTCGGCCAAAAAAAGGGAAAATTGGAGGGAGAAGTTTTACTCTTGGAGTTAACATAAAAGAAGAGGAAGAAGGAAGAACAAGGACTAAGGATCATCAAGCAAACATCCAAGGCATTGAATTTGAGCAAGAGGAGGCTTAAGAACAAGCAAAGAAAATCAAGGAGCAAATCTTGTTAAGAGGTAGCAAGGACTTGCAACCTTAATGCTAAATTGCAGTGGTTGTTTTTGCTAGGTGTGCTATGCCATGATGCGATTGAGTTCCGTATGATGTAATGCGTTTAACTCCTTGGATTTATGCCTTGACAATTTGTATAGTTGATTTGTCTAATAGTATGATTGTATGCTCCCTTTCCATGGCATTATGTCATAAATGAAAGCATGAAAATGTTACTTGCGTATAGCATGAATCAATCTTGCCCTGCTAACATTACAATTGTGGTTCTTTGCTATTGAGATTTTTTTTTTTAACAATCTCACCCCTCTTTGTATATATAATTGACACAACTAGGGCTGGCTGATCAAGAAAGAAAGGAAAGAATGTGGCGGGGTTTTAGGGGAAGCATGCATGAATTGTCATGCAGATATGAACTTTCCAATGTTATGTAATTATGGTTTTTGAATGGAATTATGTAATGTTATGTACACTTAACGTGTGCTTATATGGACTGTTACTTCCACCTCTTGGGAGATATTATGATTCATCATACATGTTGGTATGATGGCTTGTGGAAAAATGGAAGTTAGGGGATTGGATTTTACAAGTTAAAGCAATCAAAAGAGATAGTAATGCTTAAAAAACCTCAATTTTGAGGCTGCGACTTCTATGATCAAATGATGGAATCTAATCGTGAAATTTGGTGGACCTAAATCTCACATCCTAAGCTTCAAATGAAGTGGTAGATCACCTAACTAGGAGTTTTGTATGGAAAGTTATGAATTTTTGAAGTTATGGTAAAAAGCTGAAAAATAAAAACTGACCAAATGAACAGTAGTTCTTGAGATCAAAATGGAGCCCGAATGGAATGATGTAAAGAAATGAATGAACTTCGAATAGAACTCAGAGCCATCTCATTTTGATTTTTCTAGAAATAGTTATGAATTTTTGAAGTTGGCAAAATTTTGGGGTTACCAAATGAATAGTAACCCAGGAGAGTGATTATTCAAGGTATGGTTTATTAAGCTTAATGAAATGCAATGTAGTTCCTTTTGATATGTTTTGGCTCCATTTATGGCTGTGAACTAAGGTGTTACAGGTTCAACGTACTAAGTTGATATGGTGTAGATTCTGCATCAAGCCTTTTCATTGTCGTCGTCTAATGACTTCCCGACCCCAAAGGTGAAGCAGAGAAAGGAGGCACCGTCGGAGGTGATAGAGCTAGAGATGATGAAGAAGCCCAGATACTTTTTTTGAGTGGGAGGCCACAATTGTTTTTTTAATCGTGTCGAGTTTTGTTTTTCTTTTTGCAGAATAGGACATGCAATTATGACTCAAAATAAGTTTTATAAGATAAGGATTACATTACTGAATGTAAGAAGATTAGAGCTGAGTGTTAGTCAATTCAAAATTAATGGGACAAAGTTGCGCCGAGTCAAAGTTGAGGGAACGAATTTGAAGAACCAAAAGATTCATTTTTCTGTACATTTAAAAATTTTATTTGACCTGTAAACCTTGAAGTTTTATTTATAAATATGTTATATTTGATTTGCAAATGTTAACTTATTAATATCTGAATAACGTTCTTTCAAAATTACGTTCATTTACCAGTCAATACTTGTAAGTGAGGAGTTAACAGTTGTCGACTATCGATCACTGTCAGCCAACCCGTTAGTCAAAGCCTAAATGTATATGTGATGTACATATGACAAGTAAAATTAATTACTCACAACTCTCAAGATACTTGAGGGTAATTTAACAAGATCGAGGGCTGGACTTGTAAATAAAGGAGATGATGGCCTAAATTTTTCCCGTGTTGGAGCTTGCGAGATAAATATTTAATCGTAAAGGGCATAGACCACGGCGTAAATATGAAAATACTGAAACCATAGGGGCATCTTCACAGCTCCAAATGTGAAAATGAATAGGAGAAAAATTAAAGAAATGAGATAATTGCTTTTACGTACCAAATAGGAACCCCCAAAATCATAGCCTCGTAAGGTCAATTTGACTTTTAAGATTATGAGATGCAAAAGTATTTCACTAGATATAACAGACATATCCCAGAAATTTTCAAAATAAATTAAAAGCTTGTTAACCGTTCAAAAGTCATCTAGATTTGTTTATCGCCTTCCCGTGAAATTCACTTTAAAATTACAGCCTTCACATTTAATTCCCTTCATTTTATTCACTATCTATTTGGGGCCTTTTCAAAATTTGGATATTCTATATATTACCATCGAAAATTTTCATCAAATGCGTTGTCAGCATCAAATTAGATGCAGATTTTCATTGCTTAAAAAATCCAAGCACACAAGATTGTTAGATATATTTGCCATAAATAGTTTGAGGACATGTATTACAATATCTCTTAAGCATACATGAAAACGATGTATCAAATAATTTGTTTCTCAGCAACAGCAAGTCTATATTTAGTTCTAGGCCATGGTTATAAATACTTGTGAGCATAAGTTGAAACAAATAGAGATATTAGTGTTTAAGTAATACATAACAATGTCTGCGTACAAAACATGTGCCCTTCTGCTCATGCTATTAGCCGTTTCTTCTAAATGTAACGCGCTAGACGCAGCATTACATGTAGATGCTCAGTCTGGAAGGCCTATTCCTGAACACTTTTTTGGTGCATTTTTTGAGGTGAATAATGTATCGCAATTATTTTGAAGGCTGTATTCTTTTGTGTTCCTATGCGTCGTACTTGTGGTAAACTATTTGTTTTATAGGAGATTAATCATGCTGGGTCTGGAGGGCTGTGGGCGGAACTTGTGAACAACAGAGGTGATTATAGAACTTCTATTACCTCTTTGACTTTTTTTTTTTAATATTGCATAGGATAATTGAAAATGGATGTATATTTTTGTGTAAAGGTTTTGAAGCTGGGGGCACAATGGTTCCTTCAAGTATCTTTCCATGGACAATTATTGGAGATGAATCAAATATACGGGTGACTACTGAACTCGCTTCTCCCTTTCCTCGCAATAAGGTTGCTGTGAAATTGCATGTCCTTTGTCGCTCCCCCGAGAAATGCCCTCAGGGCGTTGGTCTCTCTAATCCTGGTTTTTGGGGCATGGTATGACCTTAAAATGTTTGACTTTTGATTAGATTTTGCCTTCTTTCTTTCTTTCTTTCTTTTTTAATGATTGTACTATTTTAACTTTAAAGTAATGAATCTCATTCCTTTATAGAATGTTCAGCAAGGAAAGAAATATAAAGTGGTGTTCTTTGCTCGTTCATCAAGGTCAATTGATTTGAAAGTTTCATTGACAGGGGAAAATGGACAAGAATTAGCTTCTTCCAACATCAGGTTATTGGTTCGGGATGCGCTGCCTAAAAATAATTATGATGTTTATCATGTTCAATAAACGTCAAGTAGCATATATACAAAGTAAAATGGACTATTTGTGTATGTAGGGCTTCCGCAAAACATGTTTCAAAGTGGAGAAGGATGGAGATGGTTCTTGAAGCCACAAAATCAGACTATAATTCAAGCCTTCAAATTACAACAACTCGAAAAGGAGAGATTTGGTTAGATCAAGTCTCAGCCATGCCTATGGACACATACAATGTATGCAATATTTGAATTGATATCTTAAATTATATTAAAAAGGCAGCTTCACCCAAAAAGAAAAAGAGATCTCATAGAGGAAAAACATATGCCCTACCATTGCAGAAAACATGTGGACAAAAATGAGGCCTACCTTTTCCCCCCTTCTCAACCTAATTTGAAGCACACTTGAATATATTTTGGTTTTATTTATTCCTTTCTTTCGCTTATTATGACTACAATTATGCTTTCTTTGTTCTCATAAGGGACATGGATTTCGGAAGGACCTTTATCAAATGGTAGCAGACTTGAAACCAAAATTTCTCCGATTCCCGGGTAAGCATCTGCAGCGTGGGGCATATTTGGAGGCTTCTTTGAAATGATTGTTCATTATGGTCTCCTTGAAATTCATTCCTCCATTCAATTGTATTAGGTGGTACTTATGTTGAGGGAGATCACTTGAAAAATGCATATAGGTGGAAGGATACTGTTGGACCTTGGGAGAAGAGACCCGGTCACTTTAATGATATATGGGGCTATTGGACTGATGATGGCTTTGGTTTTTTGGAGTTTCTTCAGGTAGGTGCTTTTTAATTATTTTTCACTTTATTAAGTTAAATTTTTTTCATACACGCACATGTCGACTTCCCATAACACTTCATCACATTTGAACAGCTTGCGGAAGACCTTGGTGCCTTGCCTGTATGGGTGTTTAATGCCGGCATTAGTCGTCATGAAGAAATCAATACAACTGACATATGGCCTTTCGTACAAGTATAACTTAGCCTTGGCAACTTCCCATAATGCTTTTAAGTTAATCCTTATTCCTTCGCGTCTTGGATTAATTTTGTTTTGCATCAATCTTTATAGGAAGCTCTTGATGGGATTGAGTTTGCCAGAGGTGCCGTCACAACAAAATGGGGCAAGATGAGGGCTTCTTTGGGACACCCCGAGCCATTTGATCTACGATATGTTGCTATTGGAAATGAGGATTGTGGGATGTATAACTACCTAGGAAACTACCTCAAGTTTTATAATGCTATTAGGCATTATTATCCTGATATTAAAATAATCTCAAATTGTGACGCTACCGCCGCTCCATTAGATCACCCGGCGGATTTGTTTGATTTCCATGTTTATACAAGCTCTAAGGGTATCTTCTCAATGTATAACAAATTCGATTCTTTGAATCGTGCTGGTCCAAAAGCATTTGTAAGTGAGTATGCTGTTTGGAAAGGAGATGCTGGATTTGGAACCCTCTTGTCTGCTCTGGGTGAAGCAGCATTCCTTATGGGATTGGAAAAGAACAGGTTAACTATTCTCTCCATTGTCAGCTTGATAACATTATTTGGCCGCCTCACAACTTATTTAACATTAATATGATGACAAATATTCTCTCTCGCTGTGGTGCAGTGATGCTGTGGGAATGGTTTGTTATGCCCCACTTTTTGTAAATATAAATGACCAAAAGTACGTAAGACATTATTTATTTCCTTTTTGTGCTTATTTGTATTTTTATAATTGTAAGCTACGAGATCGATGTTGTGTGATTTTGTGTGGATGTACAGGTGGATACCAGATGCTATTGTATTTGACTCATATAGGAGCTATGGAATTCCCAGCTATTGGTTACAACAACTATTCTCACAATCAAGCGGAGCTACATATATCAACTCAACACTTAAAGCCCCAACTTCCATTGTTGCATCAGCAATTGTTTGGGAAAATCAGGAGAACAAAAAGAGTTACTTGAGAATTAAGGTAATGCATGGATGATCAACAATGCTTGAGCTAATCGATGACTAAATGGGTTATAATCTTTTCAAATCCTAAACATTTCTTCAGGTTGTGAACTTTGATGACAAGGCAGCGACTATTGGCGTTACAATTGATGGCTTAGACCCCAATGTGGATCTTTCCGGATCAACAGTAACATTGCTCACATCTACCAATGTCAAGGATGAGAATTCTTTTTACAATCCCAAAAAGGTATCACTTGTGTTATTTTAAAAATCACTTCATCTTTTATTTAAGAAAATCATAAATATTGTGGTCAAGATATAATAAAGAAATCGAATAACCCAGAAGCCACACTATTCGCATGCGTAATATAGTAACCTCCTAGGCCAACCCTGCAATCTTATTATTTGATGACTTTCATTGTCTAACCGTCAAAAGATCAACAGCCGTGAAGTTTAAGCCCGACAAGTAAACGAGGCCCAAATACTTGACGGTTAAAACCGTTAAACATGACAAAAAAAAAGCATTAAATATGGCTTTTTCTATGATAATGATGATTCCTGAATGTTTTAGCTCTTTTCTGAAATTCTATGCGGTGTGATATAGGTCATCTAGTTTGTGCGGATGCACAATTCTTGAGTATCTTGGTTCTTGTCACAAATATTATTTACACATTGGGAATGCAACCATTTTTTAGACTCCACACTATACACAGATGTCACCTAATTTGTGTGAAATGCTCATTCCGAAGCCATGCTCTTAACACATGTTCTGTGCTTCGTATGTGTAGATTGTACCACAAGTGAGTCCACTAAAGAACCCTGGCTCTAATATGACTTTCATACTTCCTCCAAACTCAGTGGCTTCACTTGAGCTTCCAAAATGATTTACCATTTTGAAAGCTTATGAAATTGCTCACACGAGGGACAGAAGAAGAATATGTATGCATATGAAAAGATGTAAGATATACTGCTGTATTTCTTTTTGGTTACAACCCATAATCTTTCTATGCAAGGCATCAACCGAGCCGTAAAGCTGTTGACTTATTTGTGGTATAGTTTTGTAAGGCTTTGTTATGAATCATACAATCATAACTCAGTTTGTTGCCAAACAAAATCACATCAAGCAACAAAGTTGGTTGTTTTTCAAGTGTAGCGGAAGAAAATAGTGTTGTGACTAATTATCTGAATTACATTATGCTGTTTTTATATTAAAGTGGGGTAACATTCAACCTTATAAAACCTAAAAAAAAATTAAAAGGAGAATCATCAACCAACAAATTAAAAAAAAATAAAATAAAATATCTGGTGATGAGGAATGTTATAACCACTGTATCTGCAAAATCCATAATCTTTACGTGTAAGAAACTTTTAGATGCTAGTGTTAACAATTGATTTGTTTTTAGGCTCCTATAGAAAAATAAAGATGTACTCACATAATCAAGATGGATGGGAAGGGAAACCAACTTTGAACAAATTAGAATGACTTCAGTAACTAGCGCGTTTAATTCCATCAATGCGTTAGGTCTAGTAGAAAAGGTTAATATCTTAGAATGTGACAATCTAAGGTACGAATAATGACTGAGAAAAATGCTCAGTTATTACCTGGTCATAACTTGAACACGATTGTTTCTAAGAAAAGAATACAAAAGATTTTAAACAATTCAAAGTGTATGAAATCACACAGAAAAAGGTAAATCTAAAATTTCTATCATTATCGTAATGAAAGATTATTAACTATCAATCACCACTCATAAAATATACATAGATATATATATACACACTGAAGCAAAAGGGAGTTGTTAAGTGAGATCACATCACTATTTAAGCTTGATATGCCGAATATCCATCAATTCCAAATGACGATTGTGATGCCAACAAGTAACAATAGGGTTTTAACATCACGTATATATTCGAGCTAATTCCAAATATCACGATGACATAAAACTGCACTATAAGTCATGATGACAGTTACTTGGAGAGAACATCTAGATGACTTTATTTGAGCTTCCAAAATGATTTACCATTTTGAAGACAATATGACATTGTCCACATGTAGGACAAAACAAAAATATGTATACATATGAAAAGATGTAAGATACAAGGCATCAATCAAGTTGTAAAGTTGTTGACTTATTTATACTATATTTTTATAAGGCTTTCTTATGAAATGTATGTTGGCAACACTTGTAAAAATTAATAAAAAATATGGTTTGAGTTGTGTCCAAGGACATTGTCCTTAGCAGTTTTTCCGCCACATAGATTAGAAAAAAAGGCAACACTCCTTAGGATTAAACGAACTCTTCTTACGTAAAGCAAGGTAACAAAACAATAGAACTTTAAAACTCAGGAGAAGAGATAGGGAGGAGAGCTTGAGGATAGAACTCAAAGCATCCTGACCATACACCACGCATTGCCTTTTATAGGCAGATGATATGTGATCGTTGGGCTACCATAATAGTGATCAAAGATAGTTTTAATGACAATTAAAATGACAGTTTAAAACAATTAATTAAGGTAATTAAAACATTTTAAGGCCATTAAATTTGGTTAATGGAAGAATAAAACTGACTAATTAAAAAGCATAAATACTTTAACGGTCATTTCTAATTGTCAATTCTAAAAACTTCTCTTCTCAACCATTTTATTAGCTCAAACTCACATTTTAGTAAACACTAAGGTTTTCTCAATCTTGAGTAATACAATACTTCTTTTGACACACTCACCTGCTAAAACTCCAATAACATATTTTATTATATAGAAAAATTGTCTTCATTTCAGGTACCCCCACACTTTCTAATATTTTATTATATAGAAAAATTATCTTCGTATCTCTTCAATAATAATTCTAATTATATTAGACTCTTCCACCAAATATATGGTGATACCCCAAAATCATAATGACCAGAATCATATTTCAGAATTTAAAATCCACACAGTTTGTTTTCGAGAAAAAAACCTTAAAGTTATCACATAAATATGGTCACATTTATAAAATGGTCCATTCTCATATAAAACACATACTACAAATAATGTCACTGCATAATGAACAACGACAATAAAGTTTTAGTATGACAATTTGTTAATCACCAATGCACTTGTAGCCACATCCGGCGAACTTCATAATTTTGGTCTTGAAAAGATAACGTTGATGAATTATAAGGAGGTTACAAATGGTTAAACCAATTTGATGTATTTGATAACTATAATAATGACGCCTCCAGCGGATATATAAATCCACCAACAGCTTGGAAATAAATCATAAATAATATAATAATAATAGGGGGTTATCAATTATTAAAACCAAATTAATATATGCATTAACCAACCCAACAATATCTTCAATGTGAAAGGATAAAACCACTAACGGAAATACGGTGTAGTAACATAAACAAAGATAATAAACAATTATTTAATCAATGAATGGATAAAAATCCACCACGTTTTCCTTCTTTCAATTCGCACTACATATGGAACATCATCCATGTAAGGCACAATTCATAAGATTTTGTGTGTAGATATATAAAATCTAGGACACATAACTTGGCATCTCATTGATTTCTTTTTTATTGTTGAAATGTTCATACTAAGAAAATACCATTACTTCAAAATAGTTTCACTAGTTTCTAACGGTTTTACTCAAAATTATATTTAAAACTCACACCAATTTCATGAAACCAACCCATGAAACCCAACAGCACATTTTTCTGTTCCCAAAATCATTCATGTGCCGAATTTAATCAATGTCATAGTAATTTGAAAACAAAAAAAAATGCCTTTTAAACTCAACTAGCAAATAATACTTGGTAAAGAAACCAAAAAACATATACGCTATATCAACAATTCTTTTGTATATCTCCTCCTTGTTCAAATTCTAGAACAGACATATGTGTACCTCAAAGAGTAGACCAAAACGCGTAAGTGGTAAGCAATCTTGACTAATCATATTCAACAACATGTCCATTATCTCTGAAAAAATGGTAAGTCATTTTTGCCACTAGTCTCTCTCTAAAGCACTTCTACCAATATTATGGTATTCATGCTCGGACTCCACTCGCAATACGGTGTCTATAAGGTCCTATGTGAATATGCTTGAAGAGGAAAATTTGGGACTTGATGTTCTTGACCACCATAACTCATCTAAATATATAGCATGTGCTGCATAACTTAATTTCATCCATAAACACCATTAGATTCACTACCTCGACACATACTTTTATCAGGTTTACATCTACCACCTATTCGGATCATTATACTAGGTGGTAGTGTCCCAGGTTTGTGAGTTAGAACTCAATCCTCAAGTCATCTCTAGCCTCTGCAAGCACCAGAGGTTTACCCCTTCTCATCTCCATCTTACTAGAGAGACAAGGAGCAGCCTATTTGGCTAACTTCTTTATTATGAGGTCTCAAAGAATGTCCTAAAATGAGGCATAAACAACAAATATAAGAATAACTCAAACCTTCTATCAAATAAGAGGAAAATGTTGATTTGAATAAAACTATCAAATTAAATTAGGACAAAACTTAGAGGCTTTCTTATATGATCACTTTGTTGCTAATGAGTGCTAAAACAACTAACTCTACAATTAAATGGTGCTTTCGTGTGATATAACTCTCAAGATTGTTGGCAACACTGGCAAAAATTAATAAAAAAAATATGGTTTGAGTCGTGTCTAAGGACACTGTCCTTAAGAGTTATTCCTCCACACAGGTTAGAATAAAAGGCAACACTCTCCAGGATTAAATAGATCCTTCTTGCGTAGAACAAAGTGACAGAACAACAGAAATTTAAAACTCAGGAGAAGAGAGAGAGGAGGAGAGCTCGGGGATAGAACTCAACGCACCTTGACCATGCACCACGCATTGCCTTTTATAGGCAAATGATATGTAACCGTTGGGCTGCCATAGTAGTGGTTAAAGATGATTTTAATGACAATTAAAAGGACGGTTTTTAAAACAATTAATTGAGGTGAACTAAAACATTTTAAGGCCATTAAATCTGGTTAATGGAAGAATAAAACTAACTAATTAAAACACATAAATGCTTTAACAGTCATATTTAATTGTCAGTTCTAAAGACTCCTCTTTTCAAACATTTTATTGGCTCAAGCTCACATTTTAGTAAGCACTAAAGCTTTCTCAATTTTGAGTAATATGAGACTTCTTTTGACACATTCACCCACTAAAACTCCAACAAAGTATAATTTTTAACTCAACTTGTTGCCTAGTAAATACATCATGCAACAAAGTTTGTTGTTTTTCATATGTAATGGAATAAAATAGTTATGTGATTAATTATTTGAATTGCATTATGCCATTTTTATATTAAAATGTGGTAACATTCAACTTGATAAAACCGACTAAGAATAAAAATAGAATCATCAATCAACAAATGAAAAGCAAAAAATAAAATAAAATATATGGTGGTAAGGAATGTTATAACCGCTGTATCTGCGAAATTTGTAATCTTCACATGTAAGAAACTTTTACATGCTAATGTTAACAATTGACTTATTTTTTGGCTCCTACAAAGAAATAAAAATCCACTCACGTACTCAATCAAGATAGATGGGAAGAGAAAGCAACTTTAAACAAATTAGAATAACTTCAGTAACTAACTTGATTGATTCCATCAATGTGTTAGGTCTCATAGAAAAGATTAATATCTTACAATGTGAGAAACAGGGATATAAATCATCATTGAGAAAAATGCCCACAGTTATTACTCTAAGCTAGATATGCTGAATGTCCATCAATGTTTAGGTGGCAATTGTGATGTCAACAAATAACAATGGGGTTTTAACATCATGCACTTTAAGTCAAAGTGACAGTTGCTAGAGGAGAACATCTAGATGAGTGCTTTTCTATCTAAGTGCACACGAGAATATATTTATGCCACATTGCTATGGAGAGATAAGCACATCAATGTGAAAGTATATGAGAGGTGTCAAAATAATAGAATACACATGTACGATCGATTTTTGTATAAGGAGACAAAACAAAAGTAGTGAAAAGATAAATAAATAAATAAATAATTAAATACAAAGGTGAAAGCGAGGATAAAGGAAAAAATGGGATGAAAAGAAAATGAATAGATCAATCCAAACTATGTTGGATTTAAACCTCTAGCCATAAAAACAAGATGAACAATAGAGTGCACTTTGTTTCGGTCACATCTGCCCATCCCTAATCTCCAACTTTAATTAAAAAAAAAAAGAGAGAGAGAAGAATTTTCTACGTTGCCCTTTTTTCTTTGAGAAAAATTGTCTTCTCCTCAATCCTTACTCTCTTATTTATAGATTTTTATCTAGGGTTTCACAATTTTCTTCTAATTTTGTTTTTTATTTTTCCTCAATAATGACTTATAATATTCTTTCCCATTTAAGCATCAAATCATCTTTAGTTTGTGATTTTTTATTTTAATTTTTGAAAATTATGACCCTAAAAGATACTTCCAATTAGAGAGCCAATCATATTAAATAAAGAGTTTTTATTTTTATTTTTGGTTTTTCTTGCTTTTCTCCTCAATGATACCACATTGTATTTCCTAATTTTGAGGTGAAGCAACATTTAAACCTATCTTTTTGTTTATTGACACTTATTATTGGCAAAATCTTTTTGCTTGATTTTTTTGTTTTTTTTGCTTACCATAATGTGGGCTTTTCAAACTTGGCTTCTAAGTAAGAATGAATGAGGATTTTTCTTCTATTATTTTTTTATTGTTTTATATTTATTTGATTTATTATTTTTTATTGGTCCAGATAAAATAGCATGGTGTTCATAGTTTCCCCTCTTTACTTGTTTATAAGTAAGAGAAATGAGTTTCTCATCTTTGAAGCAAGTAAAGATAATGACACGTAATTGTTCTAGCAAAGTGCACAACACAAAAAGACAGAACTAGGGTGCTCCAAAGACTAAAAAACATCTAAACAAAATACAGTGTTCATGCCCTTCTTTACTTGGTTCACAAGGGAGAAGACAAGGAAAATATGCAAGTGGAACTGAACGTTCACACAAACTAGAGCACTTAGTTCCATGAAGATTTAGAAGATGCCTGTCGTTGTAGGGCTTTTGAAGATGCCTGTTGTAACAAGGCCTCGAAAGGGCGCCAATCATTACTAGGGTTGGAGAGTGCTTGCCGTCATAGGGTTTTTGATAGGTTTTAGCTGCTACAAGGCTTTGAGGGTACTTGTCACTATAGGACTTTAAAAGGACTACTATCTATTATTGAGCTTTAAGAGTGCCTGCCATTATTAAAAAATTGGGATGGCAATGCTAACTATTGATTTGCTTTTGGGCTTCTATATAGAAATGAAAATCCACTCACATACTTAATTAAGATGAATGGGAAGAGAGAACAACTTTCAACAAAGTAGAATCACTTCAATGACTAATTAGATTGATTTTTACAGTGTATCAATTATTTTTGAGCTAATTCTCCCTTAAAATCTTTTGAATATTGCTAATGAAAAATAACGGTTATATTCGCATTATGTAAAAAGAATTATTGCTTAAAAAAAATATTACCATGAAATTGGTGCTTGATTCAACAATGCCACTTTTATAAATTATATAAATAATTTTATAAATATATTCACTCAAAAAATAATTTTATGAATATAAATTGCGTCCACCCTCCATCCCATTCTCTCAAATTAATTTTTTTAGGAAGAATTATAATGCGGTCTCAACAAAAAAATAATTACAAAAACAAGTTTCAGAAGTTGTTATTCCTTACTCTCGAATTTATCATTACAAGTTGCTTAGGTTGTTATTGAAATTTTTCAATAATTATTTTTCTTCTTTGGGACTTCATTGTAATTTTCTCTTTTTTTTAATCAAGTATAGATGTCCTTCAAATGAATTTATTAGTGCTTATTGCAACTTTTTTTTTTTTTAAAATCAGTGCTCTTTAACGCTTATAAAATAAATAAAAGCAATATTATGTCAAAAAAGCATACCCTCTTGTTTTTAATTAGATATAAAATCAATATTATGTCAAAAAAATAATATTGAGATTGATGGTTCAAAAATAGAAGAAATCATGTTAAAAAATTAACTCGAATTAAATCTGATTTAAATAATAATGAATATAAAAAATAAAATAATATTAATGGCGTACTTTTTTTTTGTAAGCATTTGTTTTTTTTATATTAGCATTTATTTTGCATATCATAATTCATGAAAAGCAAAGCATTGCTTGTTTCGTGAATTTATTTAAAAGCAAATAGGCAAATAGTTTCGGTTGAGATCCGGGTTATAAAGTCGATCCATTAACCCGAATCCGAGCCCAATAAACCCTTATTCCCCAAACCCCTTGCGCCCCCTCTGGCAACAAATCCGAGCCGTCGATCAATCTCAGATCTCCTTTAAAACCTAGCTCATTCGAGCTCCATGGTTTAACCTAAGTAGCTGCCGCTGCGTTCCTTACGCCTGTCTCTTGTGGGAGCAGACCGCGGCTCAATGGTACGTACATCGATTGAAAGCATTTTTCATTTCTGCTGAAGCTTGAATTTGCTTGAATGCCTGGTTTTGTTTGAGATTCCAAGCTCTGAGACAGCGAGCTGACGCGGGTTTTATTTGAGAGAAATCTTAGTTTGTTTCGAAAGATATGGATTTATCCACTGGGACTAGGTTCTCGCTGTTGATGCTGTTAATGGTAGTTTTATAGGTTTTGTTGGGTTTCTTGTGAAGCTGTTTTTGAACGGTAAGCTTTTGTTCTGAGTCTCTGCAAGAAACTTCAGCCTAGGGTAGAGCTGGCATGGCGTTGTATATGGTTTAGTTTATTGCTCAGTATAACTTAGCTGAGCACTCCGAGTTTTGTGCTTCCATCTTTAACGCCTAATTCGTTCTTGAGTTATAGGTTTATATTGACGTTTGGGGACTTTTGCTTTGTGTTTTAGCCCCTCATTAGAACTTACTGTTTGAAATTCACATTTCTTGGTCCGGGATTTTTGGTCTTGGGTAGATCTTAATGGAAGCGTTGTTAACTGTTAAATATTTGTGTTTCTTTTTATATAATAAAGGCTTACGTCAAGGCTCAGAAAACAAAGGCCTATTTCAAGCGTTACCAAGTTAAATTTAAGAGAAGAAGAGGTAATGTTGCAATACATCAAGGTTCCGTTTGTATTTTCTGAATGACTTTCGTGTATTTCCTCTTTGTTAACTTTTTTTTCCCACTGAAAAATATGCAGAGGGTAAAACAGACTACCGAGCCAGGATTCGTTTGATTAACCAGGATAAGAACAAGTATAACACACCAAAGTACCGCTTTGTGGTTCGATTTGTATCCTTCTCTGCAGTCTGTGATGTTGATGAGTGACTTAACAATGGATCAGTGAATACATTTAAATTATTTCTGCCATCCTTGCAGAGGACGTTGTTTTCCAATTTCATATGCTTACATTTCTGTACATATGCTTGGTATCATTGTCATCTTGCTAGTGAACCTTAATCCTGTAACAGACAAACAAGGATATCATTGCTCAGATAACATCCGCTAGCATTGCTGGTGATATTGTTCTTGCTGCAGCTTATGCACATGAGCTGCCACGCTATGGTCTTGAAGTTGGTCTCACAAATTATGCAGCAGGTACTAACTATACAAGCAACTCCTCTTTTGCCATTATCAGCGTTTTGGCCTTTAATTAATGTATTTTCTTTAAATAATTACTAGCTTATTGCACTGGATTGCTTTTGGCCCGTCGGGTCCTTAAAATGCTCGAAATGGAGGAGGAGTATGAGGGCAATGTTGAGGTATTCATTGATGGATTTAATTTACAAATACTCTCTATATTTATAACCATATGAATATGATGATTGGTTGTATTATTTCTATTAGGCAACTGGGGAGGACTTTTCAGTTGAACCTGCTGAGACTAGGAGGCCCTTCCGTGCTCTCCTTGATGTTGGTCTTATAAAGACTACCACTGGCAATCGGGTATTTGGTGCCCTCAAGGTACTAATTTAACATTTTTTTTACGATTATGGTACCACTTCTATTTCCGTAGTTAATTCTTGCTGTTGGGTCCTGTTGGATTTTACTACCCCTCCTCCTCCTTTGGGTGGGCTGTGACTATATTTATTAGGCAGGATGTCATTGATTAATAAGATATTGGGTTTCAGGGAGCACTGGATGGGGGTCTGGATATTCCTCACAGTGATAAAAGGTTTGCTGGTTTCAACAAGGACAAGAAGGAGCTTGATCCTGAAGTTCACCGTAGATATATCTTTGGTGGCCATGTTGCTGCTTATATGAAGGCAAGTGCAAAGACGTGATGCCCTTGCCATTGGGCTTTCCTTAGTGCCTGTTGTTAGGGATATTTAAGATAATAGTGTGACATTGCATGCAATAATATTTCAGACTCTGATGGAAGATGAGCCTGAGAAATACCAGTCGCATTTCAGTGAATATATCAAGCGACGGTTAGAGCCTGATGGTCTTGAGGAGATGTATAAGAAGGTCCATGCTGCCATTCGTGGAGACCCGACCACAAAGAAATCAGAGAAGGAACCACCTAAGGAACATAAAAGGTAAAAAGAATAAAATAACTAATTCACTTGTTTCGTCTTTGGTATATATATAATCTATCCAATTAACCAGTCTGCTGATTTTGTACAAGGAAGTCGCTAAGTATCTTATTTTATGGCTTTTCAGGTACAACTTGAAGAAGCTGACCTATGAAGAGAGGAAGGCTAAGTTGATTGCACGGTTGCAGGCTCTCAACTCAGCTGCTGGTGCTGATGAAGATGATGAAGAAGACGACGAGTGAAATTGCTTTGTAGATGCGGCTCCTCACATCTAGAACTTAATTTAATTTGCAGTTTCAGATCTATTTTCGGGAAAGTTTTGTTTGATGGTGCTGTTCTTTATTTTCTAGGTGACAATTTTGGATACTTTCGGCTTAGCCTGGTTCTTGCGCTTTGTCTTGAGTTATGCTTATACACAAGATAATTGCATTACCACAAGACTGTGTTTTAAATTCTTCTGTAGGTTATCTTGGGGATCATGTTTGCCTTATTTTTCGAAATGTGTTGGAATATACAGAGGACATAATTATTAGATGAGTTGCCCATCGTCGAAACTTAAGAAAAGAACCCCCTCTGATGAAAAAACTGTCATCTTAAATCATAGTAATAATTTTATATTTATATATAATTGATCACTGGGGAGGTGTTGTTATCTCCGTCCAATGCAAGGGGACATGTTTATCAAATCATCTCCAGCAAATTTTTTGGTACTGAAAATCAATTTTTGTTAAGGTAATAACTTATACTGATGTCTTTTTACTATGATGTTTAACGTCATTTTACTCAATTACCTTACCATGTTGACACTTTTTTAGCCCGCGTTGGTGGGTCGTTTGAAGATAAATGCTTGTTTGGGTGGGTATTTTCTCAAACTAGCTACTACAGAAAAAGCTTAGTACGTTGCAATGCTGGGGTTTGCAAGTTTAGGGGTGAGAAAAAGCTCATTTGAGCAATTAATCCGCATTATAATTTTGAGACATCACATTTTTCCTTCTCTCTCTTTTCCCTCCTTTTACAAGGTCAATAAATTGTACGTGGCTTTCGCAAATTTCTCTCTTTTTTTTTCTCCTTAGTTTATTGTACTTTCAAAATTATCATTCTGATTCTAAGTGCAGGTTACTTTCTAAATGCCAGTTACCTGGGAGAAGTTTTGATTTTAAATATAAGTTACTTGCAATATATTTAATATAGAGGGATATAATTTTAAACAGCCATGTAATATTATTTAGTTTAAAAATTTTAAATTTGAATTACTTTTAATTTATAACAGTTTTTATTTTTGTAATTTTAATTTTTTTCTAACGATTATTACATTATAAACATATAATATAAATATTTTATTATTTACTAATTCAAACAAATTTCAACTTGTTAGACTGATTTTTTTATTTTATTTTATTAAAGTTAATATTAAAGTCGATACTATAAATCATATTACACTCATTGTCTTTCACTCTAAATTCTTTTACAAAAGTCAAATGAAATAAAAGTTATTTTTGTCAAATACACCTTTATAAGTGGGAAGGTCATGGATTTAATAAATTAATCTCTCTCAGTTTGGTAACTTCATAACGTTAATTTATGAAAAAAGAAAATTAGGCTTCTTTCTCTTTTGGTGATAAAATAATGACACTTCTTTTTGACCATAACTATGGTAACATTTCATTCATCTACAAAATGTAACATCGTGACGGTCAGACCCAGATGCATAACAACCCAAAGACTGAAAATTATTGCAACACGCATGTTTGGATTTACAGTAAAAAAAATTATCTTATTTTTAATTTAATTTTTTAAAAAATATGATTGAGTAATATGATTTATATTTGATAAAAATAGAAGTTATTTAAATTACTATTTAAAAAGTTTAATTATAAAATAATTAGAAAGACATGGATTTTATTAAGTAATTCGTATATAGATATACATACATACATATATTATGACAAATACTTAGCTCAAATTCTTTTATATCCATTATATCATGTTTTTCAATTACATATGATCAAATGCCTTTTTTTTTAAAATGTAAAAAATTTGATATAAATATGGTCTATATGTTATATGTACATATAACCAGAAAATCTACCCCGTGGAGGATAAAATTTGCAAGTGAATTTGTCAGTACATGTACATTCCGGTATATAAGAATAAAATTTTAAATGAATATGAAGTCAATGAGAAAATTTGATACAGAATCGCTTAATAGACAACTATGTATGTTGGAAAAGATTTCTGGATATGTTTAAAACATGTACACTGTTAATTACTTTTCCACAGCTAACAAAGAGCCTCTCAGTGGCCACTGGGAGAGCGGATGAGAAGAATTAAAAAGGTTCTCTGGAGATCCCCTCGAGAGGAACTGATGGGAGAAATTGAGACTTCCAGAGCGCAAGGGCGTGTCGTCGGCTAAACTGATGTGAAAATTAAGGGATCCAGCAACCCGATCCATTTATCCACAGGAGAACACTAGATTTGAAGAATATTACCTCCGGTCTTAATTATAAAAGCTAGTTGACTAATTTGAAGGGATTAAAAAAATAAGTTAAATTAGTTATTTGTAATAAATAAGTGTTATCTTTCTTAAAATATCTTTGCTAATCAAGTGTATTGGCTAGAACTATCATGGTTAGAAGGATTACCTTGAAAATATGCATAAATATGAGAGACAAAATAGATTGGTGTTTTATATTTAAAATCAAAATAAAAGTCAAATAAGATATTATATTAAGGATTGGAGGTAGTATAAAATAAAATAGATAGATAGAGAGATAGATAGATAGATAGATAGATGAGAACTTCGAGAAAAAAGTTATTTCAAAATTTACATAGTATGACAAATATAAATTATCATAATAGAAAAAAAATATTTAAATTAGAAATGCTGTAGAATTTTTAAGTCAAATAGTATCACCTAATTATGAAAATTCAAATTCAAATTTTGCATGGATATCAAGTCCAATCTCAATTTAAGTGGTTGTCTTTTATTAGGCCCAAGTTGAATTACGATAATCTCGTAAGAGGATAGAATACAAAAAAGGATGACAGGTTGCAACTTCCTTAATCATCCTCCCTCTATTAATATTGGAGATGAAGGGTGATGAAAAGTATAATAATTTCCTGCAAGATCATTTGAGCGTTTGGCAAGATGGTTAGCCATCTAGTTATTACCCCTATGTGTATGAAGGCTCGTAACATCTTTGATATTTAAATGGAAAAACGGGATGTTAAAAATAAAATCAGATCAGTCAATTCTTGGGGTTTACATTAACAAGTGATCTTGGGAAGTATCTGGGGTTTCCTCTGCATCACCAGCGTGTCACAAAGCGAACTTAATTATCAGAACACTCTTCAGAGACTATCAAACCGGAAACTTCATGCTCGTCCTTTGTCGGACATAATACCTTGGCTACGCCGGCTGTCTCTACTATCCCCTCCTATATAAGACAGACAAAACTCTTGCTTGCTGAGGTGTGCTAGGAGATTGATAAAAGGAGCTGTTCTTTCTTAGGGGGAAGCACTAGACAAGGACTGAAACCTCATTCGGTAGCTTGGCCACATGTTTGTAGAAAGAAGGATGAAGGGGGACTTGGCCTCCGTATGGCGAACGTACAAAAAAAGGCGCACCTGATGAGGCTGGGGCGGGGCGGGGCGGGGTGGGGCCTTACTAGACGCAATGACTGCCTTTGGGTTAAGCTCCTCAGAGTGGAGTACCAATGTGGGGGATCATATTATTCCCGCCATCTGTAACACCTTAATTTTCTCTCAGCTGGGTCAGTTTACAGTAACTTAAACCATTAAGCTAGATTTGATCCTAAAAATATAATATTCTTGCATAAATTTTCATGAAAACTTTTCGTCCCGCATATGGGTTTGATCCTGTAAAAAGAATAATATTTTCTGAAAAATTGAAAATTTTTTAGAACTATTTCTAAAATACTTGTTTAGTCGTTCAAACTTTCAATTTAACCCTTTTTTTTTTTTTTCTAATCTGGCATAATTATTTCAAATCCCCAACTTCAACACTAATAAAACCTTTCTTAGCTAGCGAGTTGATTCTAGCTATCACCAAGTTCTCTACCCATTATTTATTGGCATGAAACATACACTTGCCCTTAACTAGCTCGTTCAATAATATAGTATGTTAATAGTACTACTAAGCTCCCACCACATAGCCATCAAAGCAGATGACACTTATTAGTCAACTTCAAAAGTCATAGCTTCCTCTTTATAGAGGAATTTACATTTCATAAGTTGATATGATTACATATCTATATATTTGCATACACTAAGTTGTAGCCATACACAGCTAATAAAAATTTACAAGTTCAAACTACAAAAGTATAAATTGATGACCAGCTACATAAATCAGTTCTCCATCCAACCTTCTCAATTCCTTACAATCACCATATTCTTGCCCTTCGAGCCACTTCCTTTTGTTATATGTCATGTAGGGAAAGGGGTGAGATTCTAAAAATCTCAGCAATAACATTTGTCTATCACACATATATGCAAATTTATAAAGCTTGCAAAACAAGCTATATAATAAGTACTTAGCATATCAACATATCTAGCAAGATTCACATCATATACAATTTATCATGGAATACACAGTTTTAATATTCACATAGAATATGAGTTTGAGGGAACACACACTTTTAGTATTTACACATAATACAATATCAAAGGAACACACGACTCCAGTATTCACACAGAATACAACTTTTAGGGGACGCATAATTTTAGTATTCACACAGAATATGAGTTTAAGAGAACACACTTTTCTAATATTCACACAGAATACAAGTTTAAGAAAACACAGTTTCAGTATTCACACAGATTACGAGTTACCATTATTTGTAATCGAGCACACAGGTCCTGTAATCAAAACCACTATTCATAATCAAGCACATAGCTCCTATAATCAAAACCACCAGTCATAATCGAGCACGCAGCTCCCATAATGAAAACCATCTTTCATAATCGAGCACATAGCTCCTGTAATCAAAACTACCTTTCATAATTGAGCACATAGCTCCCATAATCCAAACTATCATTCATAATCGAGCACATCGCTCTCCTAATCAAAACCACTATTTATAATCAAGCACACAGCTTCCATAATCAAAACCATCATATATTCGTTAAAGAATATAGGCCCTATGGCACAAACAAACATGCAAAATTATTACATATGTATATAAGAGAGAGTTACTACCTGTTGACCTTTCTTCCAATTTACCTCCTCCAGAATCCTTTCTTGTTTGTCTCTTTAACAGGCTCGGACAAATATCGAATCCTATAATATAGTTTCAAATATAAATGGGTCAATATTTAGTCCATTTAGCTTTTATTATCCAAAATATAATTCTCTTGACCCTTAATGAACTTCATTTTTTATTTATTTAATAGTTAGTCATTTTGGATAATATTGTTATATTTATATTATATATCTTATATATCACATGTCTAATGCAGATTCCTAACCCCCAAATGTTTCCAACAACCTAAAATACCATCTATAAATTTT